TCTGAGGGCGGAAAACATTTCCTTAAAATCACAGCCTTCTAGCTTTTCAAGTTGCCGAGTTTAACAGTTCACCCGTAAAAACATTCACGGGCCCGTACGTGGGTACCACGCATTTCCGAGGGCTGTGTTTAAACTCATTAATACCTACTTGGACGGGGAACAAACCCTTAAAATTTCAGCCTTCTAACTTTCAAGATTGCCGAGTTAACAACTTACCCCAAAAAAATTTTGGCTGGCCCGTACGTGAGTACCACGCGGGTAAGAGCGCCCATTTCGGAGATGGAGGCCCATACACGCATGTTCCCCAAGTTTCAGCTCTGTAGCTTTTGTAAGTTTCGAGATGAAAAATCAGTAGAGACACGCAGCGCACACACAGAGACACACGCACACACAAACACACACATACATACAGACACACAAACATATGCATATACACATACAACCTCTCGTCAATATGCGTTTTCTGCATTGCATAGATACACAAAACGCATAAAAAAAGTACCTTGATCCAATTCATGCTCAAGCCTTTGTAAAGGCCTCTTTTGATGCCCTCGGTGAGCCATATCTCATACATACTATATAATACATTTTGTCCCGCAGGAATAATACCGGTCTGCATTCGACGTCGCACAATATCTAGCGGATAAGAGGACGACTGACCAATAAGACCCGCAAATGCACCGAACTGAAGGCGCAGCATGGCAGGCACTTCATCACCCGTTCTTTCTGCAAACAAATCCTGAACAGATAGAAACCAGGACTGAACATTTAGGAGAAAAATAACATAAAACTGCACTAACTGAAAAAACGAATAAAATTTAGACATTCAGAAAAGCTCCCTGAAAAATCCTGAATTCTTCTATAACTAAAAAGGACTCACCATTATAGAATAATTTAAGAGTTTCAAAAGTAAAGAAACTGGCACCGGCATACGGTATTGCACCCATCAGAGTCGGAATTAAACCTCTGTAAGATGACCTGAAAAAAAAAATTTCTTTTAAACACGATTAGTCTTCACTGAAAGTATTTTGAGATAATTTCAATGAGGACTTTTGCGTCTTTTGAAGCCCAGATTTACGCTCTTAGCAACAGCTCGTTCCGTCAAGTGCAAGGTGAATAAGAGTTATGCCGTAAGCCGCTGCTTCCTTGTTACAATAACTAGTCGTAAACAAGTAGGAAGCTTTTTTTTTGGAGCTAAGTTTCACAGTAACTACAATTTCTTCACAATTTTCAGATTCCACAAAAACTGATTCACACAACAAATAGATTTGAAGACGCACTGCTCTATTTCTCAACGCTGTATTATATTATTGCTACAAAGCATGTGAATGTATCTCAGAAATATTACTGCAGTCACAAACAGTGTATGGGAGCATCCTAGTAACATCAATAACGCCATATCCCTAAATTAATTGTCTGGGCAATCACGGTAAAGTCGATATTAAAACAGGGAACAGATCTGAATCCCTTTAACTGCACTCCATGGTACTTTCAAAGTCAAAGCAGGCGAGGAAAGACAAACATCATTTTCCTCCGATCACTGTTCATTTCGATCACAAAGATCACAACCACACGATTATACAGATACATACCTAATACCGAATCTTCGATAATCTTTGATAAAAACAGATAATAAGGAGCTATATTCTTTCGAAGTCGAAGTGGCAAGACGTGCTTTAGCGGTATCAAGTGGATATGTACATGTTGTAGCGACAACTGCTGCTAATGATCCAGCAATAAGGCGCTTCATCGGGGTCCTCTCCCTGCAGACATTGATATAATTATGCTTGGCAAAAATTTAGTTGTTATACAATCAGTATCGAGTGTTTTTTTATCCGGAGCCCGACAACTTTGGCAAAGGGATCCAAGCAAACCGAGGAACGCTCACTGACAATGTGATACATCCAATATGTTTCGCCAAAACGACGAAAGAAAGCCGCGAAAGGAAAGTCAGGATCACCAGCAGGGTGAGAACCGGATGCTAAAGCTTCGATCACAACAACCAAGAGAAGGTAGATGACAAAGCCAGTAATGCAGCGGTGCGCTAGGATAAAACAACAGCACATCAAGTTTACCCGCGTTTGTCGACCCATAACAAATTTTTGATTTGTTCATGTGCAGCAAACTGTATCGCCGCGTACGGGATGACTCGTGCCATCGTTGCTGAGTTGCCCCTCCATAACGACAGGAAGCCGGTTGTTTGATAACTGAGCTTGATAAATCGAATTGCCGATTTTAACGAATAGCCGCGCGTCCTGGAAACTGAATCAAATTTTATAATTGTGAAATATGACCACCCAGCCGGTAAGTAATCATAATTTAAACGTCAAGATGAAGTGGCGCTCAAGGAGATGGAACACGCGCACTTTACACCAAATACACACACACACACATACACACATAACAATGATATCCAAAAACGGCTAAAGCCCTGCCAAGTGCTTCTTGCAGGAATA